AAACAAGCTTGCTCCATCCTCAATGTGACACCCCTTCAAATATTTAAATATGGCTATCATGTCACCTCTTCTCTTCTCCAGGCTAAACATACCCAGCTCTTAAAGCTGCTCCTCAAAAGGCTTTATGGTTTCCAGATCTCACACAGGAAAACCAAAATAATAAATAACCATATCCCAATTATCCTATCGGAGTGTGTTAATTAAAAAGAAAACTTACTGGGCCGAAAGGAGCTTAGCTTTGGCAGTATCTTAACTTTGAATTGCTCAATCACTTGCTTCACTACTTCCAGGTAACTGCTTTGGTCCAGTGCATAAATATACTGTTTCAGAAGAGGGACGTTTGCCAGATTCCAGATAAACTCGTCTCGGTGTAGTCTCTTTATCAATGGATGCTGGAATTTCTTTTGGGGGAAAAATACAAATAATGCACCACCACTGTCACAACAGTTAACATATCAACATTACAGTTGGCCTCCTGTCTTAACTAGCATAAATCCATTCAATATGTTGCTTAATGGTGGGTCAACATATAAATATATAAATATATAAATAAATCCCATGGATTCAAGGGGTTCTAATCTCATCTGGACTAATATCAGAATTTATAAACACTGTTGTTTTAAGTGGAAAGATCACAGCAAATGGGAAATGTTTATAGGATGGGCATGGCTTTGTAGTAATAGTAATAGTAGTAGTAGTAGTAGTAATAATAATAACAACAACAACAATTTATTTATTTATATCCCACCCCTCTGCAACACAATCAGTATTATAGTATTATTATTAATAGTATTATAGTATTATTATTAATAGTATTAATAAATAGCTTATTATTTTTATTATTATTATTTCTTACCCGCTTTTCCCCATGGACTAAGGTGGAGAACAACACCAATGAACAGGTAAACAACATCAGTGAAAACACATCAGTTAAAATGCACATCAGTTTAAAATAACAAATAACATATACACATATTAAAACGGGCCACATCAAATAATAATAATATTTAATTAAAGATAAAGCGATGGGCTACTGTGGTCATATCAAACGGAGGCCCGTGAGACAGAAGTGCAACTCCCCCCCCCCCCCCCCCCCCCCCCCCCCCCCCCGTTCCTCTTCATATACACACAAACAGAAGTGGGGAAAGGTGCCACAGCTCAGTGGTAAAGCGCAGATTGTGGCACAGGACTTGGAAAAGTTACTTTTCTGGACTACAACTCTGAGATTCCCTGAGGGATTCTGGCAACTGTGATCAGAAAGTAACCTTTTCAAACTCTCTTTTGGCATGCATAAGGCCCCTGCACCAGATCACAGTGTATCTTATTTGTTATATTTGGTCTATGATTGTAGAATGAATGAAAGAATGAAAGAAAGAATGAAAGAATGAACGATCTCACCTCTGTAAGCGTTTTGTCCAGTCTAGCAGCCAGTTGGCCGATCTCATACAGAACAGGAGGGCTTATTGGTAGCGTTGCCACTGTTTTACCTGGCAGGTAGCTCAAGAGTCTCACCATGTATTCTTTGGTGACAGAAGCAATCTCTAAGAGGCAAACAAGAAAGCCTTAACAGGTTGAGTCTCCAAAGATATAGCCATTTTAGTCTGTAGAATCAGTATGTAGAGAGATCTTGTAGCACCTTTGAGACTCACTGAAATAAATGCTGCCAACATCTTTATTTCAGTGAGTCTCAAAGGTGCTACAAGATCTCTCTACAGATTGAGTCTGCCTTATCCAAAATGCTTGGGACTAGAGGTGTTTGGGATTTTGGATTTTTTTTAAAAATCTGTATTTGCATATGCATACAAAATGAGATGTCTTGGAGATGGGACATGAGTCTAAATACAACATTCATCTGTGTTTCCTCTACACTAGGGATCCCCAAACTGTGATCCTTCAAGAGTGTTGGATGTCAGCTCCCAGAAGTCCCATCAGTTTGGTGGACAGTCAGGAATTCTGGGAGTTGAAGTCCAAAACATCTGGAGGACCAAAGTTTGGGAATCACTGCTTACACCTTATACACATAGCTTGAAGATAATGTTATACCATATCCTTTAAGAATTTTTGTGCATGAAACAAAGTTGGTTTACACTGAACTAAAAGAAAGCAAAGGTGTCTCTCTCTCTCAGCCACCCATGAAAAAGTTTTGGGTTTTAGAATATTTTGGAATTTGGGATAAAGGAGACTCTGTATCATAGAGCTGGAAAAGATGAAGCAAAGGATGTGTTCGTTCATGGCTAAATAAGGAATACAGAAAACTGGGACATTTGGCTGCAGAATATCATCAATATTTCCCAACTTTCTCACCTACTGATTCCAGATACATGATTTCACCCTCTTTCGTAAAATGCGGAGTAGCCACAGGGAAGCCTTCTTTGTTCAGAAACATCATAATCTGCGTCTGCACCTCAATGAGCCCAGGATTCTGACTGTCCTCCGAATTAATAATTTTGAGGACCCATTCCTCCTCGGTTCCTTCTCCACTGTCTTCAGACTTAGCGATACAGACGTGAAAATTTTGATCATCATAGCTAGGAAGCGGTTTGAGCTCACGGACTTTTAATCCAAATATCCTTTTGACCAATTTGGTGGCCTGCTCTTTGCTGAAGGCTGGCTTATTCAGGTTGCAAAGCTGTTGATTACTTCCGGAAGACATTGCACATCTAGAAGGGAATAATAAATAAATACGTAATTTAGAAGACCAAGGAGACTTGGAAGATCTGAATTGTGCTGTACAAAGAAGTAGTTGCAATGCTTTGAATCAGAAAGTAAGGTTTTGGTTCTGGATGATATCCTTTGGCCACGTCTCTTACCATGGGACCCAAGGAGGCTTACAAGAAGGTTTAGCTAAAATGTTATATTGCAAATGTTAAAAATAAACAAACAAACAGTTGTTTTAAAAGCACAATGGTTTCGTTTGTTGTTGGGTGCCTTCAAGTTGTTTCCAACAAACTACAATTCCCAGAATTCCATTGCACTGAGCCATGACAGTTAAAGTGGTGTCAAACTGGATTATTTCTGCATCCCAGAATGGTCCCATTGTCTCCTATTACTTTTTAAAAACTCCTCACCCATGGATTCACGAACATTAACACAAAGATGCATGTCCAGAATCATTCAAAGAAACTTCACCTTCGGCAATACACACATAATCTCAGCTGCAGAATTTTAACTGCAATTCAACCTTTTCAGAATTCCACTGAAAACATCTATATTCCTAGTATATCAAGTTTAACTTTTTCTAAGAATCACAAGTATATTGCCAGCAAACCATCAAAGTAGTTTTAAAATCTGGAATCCACATGTAGAATTTAAGAACACAATCCATATTACTCACTTGACAAAAAAAGCAAACTGTACTTTTAAAACAATAAAGCAAAGCTGTATGACTTTTCCTCCAGCTCTTATTCTGATCTAAACTAGCATCGCTTAAAGTTATATGACAATGGAGGACGATCCTTGGACTCTGTTAAACGCGGTCAGAGTCTAACCTTTCTGCAATTCTTTCAGAAAAGCAAACAAACATATATACAAATGCAGGAACAGCGAGAAGACAGAAAAATTCTCCTGGGCAGCATCCACACTGCAGAAACAATCCAGTTTGACACCACTTTAATTGCCATGGCTCAATGCTATGGAATACTAGGAACTGTAATTTTGTGAGACATTTAGCCTTCTTTGTCAGACAGCTCCAGTGCGACAACAAACTACAACTTCCCAAATTCCACTATCATTGAGCTGCGACAATTAAAGTGGTGTCAAATTGGATTATTTATACAGTGCAGATGCAGCCCTTCAAGCCATACATTGGTTACAGAATTAGAGGTCACAAGAGGCGGTGATGAACGCTAACTTAGATGGGCACAAAAAAGTGGAATGTCTGATTTATTTAGTGCAAGAACAGAGGAACCTCGTTTAGCGTAAAGGTTTAATTACAAAATTCTGGGAAGCTGCATTATAGCACTTTGCAAAGCAAAAGAGTGGGACCAAAATGCCAGCGCATTTTAACTTAAAATTCTTAAGTCAGTAACTTAAACCTTCAGAAAGAGAGTTCAACCTTTTTGAATGAAGTGGAATAAATATCTCGGAAGCCAACAATGATATGTTACTGACAGTGTGGTGTAGTGGTTTCAGTATTGAACTACAACTCTGGAGGCCTGGGTTCGAATCCCCAGCTCGGCCATGAAACCCACTGAGTGACCTTGGGCAAGTCACACGCTTGCAGCCTCAGAGGATGGCAATGGCAAACCTCTGAATAAATCTTGCCAAGAAAACCCCATGGTACGGTCACCTTAGAGTCCCATAAGAAGGAAACAAGTTGAAGGCACACAACAACAACAACAACAACAACGTATTTCAGATGGGTAGGAAAAAAGGTTACCTTACCTGGAGAGGAAATCTAAGGTTCGGTTATATCACTGTCCATTTTTTCTTCAATAAGCAAGCTATAGAAAGGATAATAAGGGATATATATTATATTACATCATATCATATGGATAATATGAAAAACTTGATCGCAGTTAGGACATAATTCCAACCTGTTTGAATCCAAGAGTTTGATGGTGAAGCCTTTATTTTAATCACATTGCATCCCATTACCAATGTGGGGCAACTTTCAGTAAACTGTTTCCATTTATTGCTATCAGTTTACGCATAACTTCAGCAGGCAGAATCACAAGAATTTATTATTTTGAAACAGACGTGCAAAAAAGAAGAACCCTGATTTCCGCTACGGCTACTTTAATTTATTTGTCATTTATTGCAATTTATTGCAGTTTATTTTTAAGTTCTGTTTTTAAATTTTGATTGTTTAATTGTATTTTAGGGGGGATGGGATTGTTTGTTTTATCCTGTAAGCTGCCTTGACTGTATCTACAGAGAGGCGGGATATAAATAAAAAATATTATTATTATTATTATTATTATTATTAAATTAAAAACATCACTCTTTTACAAGGAATTTTATTGAGGAAATGTGGAGTTAGCTGGAGTAGAATGCCAGCTGTTTAAGAGACAAACTTTGTCTGTGTTCTCTTTTGCCTAAAACAACAAAACAAGAAATTGTAATATTTTGAATGATTTCTCATAAGTCATTCCCCAAATGCTGTTATATAAGGGATGCTGAACCCATTCTGGAATTTCACTTTGCTGTATGCAAAAATCCTTTAATTTCATTCTAAGGTTTGGTTATATCACTGTCCATCTTTTCTTCAATAAGCAAACTCTATAAGGGATAATAAAGGATTATATATATATTATATTATATCCTATTCTATGGATAATAAGGGATATAAGGGATGCTGAACCCATTCTGGAGTTTCACTTTGCTGTATGCAAAAGTCCTTTAAATTTAATTTAATTCTAAGGTTTGGTTATATATCACTGTCCATCTTTTCTTCAATAAACAAGCTCTATAAGGGATAATAAATTATATATAAAAAGTCATATATATATTTTATATATATATATATATATATATATATATATATATATATATATATATATATATATATATATAAATATATCCTATCCTATGGATAATAAGGGATATAAGGGATGCTGAACCCATTCTGGAGTTTTACTTTGCTGTATGCAAAAAACCTTTTAAATTTCATTGCATCCCCACTTGCAATACCTACTGAATCGAAAAAGAACAGAGTATTTAAATACCACTTTTGTTGTCCTTTTTTTGTGTGCAGAAAGTGTGCAATTCCAGCAGGGAGCGCTACAGCCACAATTGTTGCGTTGTTGTTGTTGTTGTGTCTTCTAGTCCTATCTTGGGGCTTTTCTTGGCAAGATTTCTTCCATAGGAGGAGGAAAAGAGGAGGAAGAGTCGAGGTGCCTGCAAACTGCAAGATCTGAGAAATTAAAATTAAAATTAAAAAAGCACACACACACACACACACAAAAACTGACCTATACAAACAGCACCAAGAAGAAAGTGGAAACCACGCAGGAGGAAATCGAGTTGCAACTCAAGTTCTTGCACAAAAATGCATGGACTCTCTCCTTTGCTTCCTATCAGAGCAGGAAATGCTCTATTGCTTTCCCCAGGAAATTGCTCTTGATTGGCTACGAAGCAGCTTTGGACCTTCTGGATATAAAGGCCAATTGATTTCCACTCCGAAGGCACCAGATCCTGTCTGATCTTGGAAGCTAAGCAGGGTCAGCCC